TCCATTGATTCGTATGTCGGTTTTTATGCCAGCACCAAGCTGTTTTTATTACTATAGTTCTATAGTAGAGCTTGAGATCAGGGATGGTGATGCCTCCACAGGTTGCTTTATTATACAGGATTCTTTTAGCTATCCTGGGTTTTTTGTTTTTCCATGTGAAGTTGAGTATTGTTTTTTCCAAGTCTGTGAAGAATTGTGTTGGGATTTTGATGGGGATTGCATTAAATCTGTAGATTGCTTTTGGTAAGATTGCCATTTTTACTATGTTAATCTTGCCTATCCATGAGCATGGGATGGTTTTTGCTTTTGACTTTACAAAGGTTACAATTAAGAGATTGTCTTGAGTCTCAGAAGAGACTTTGAACTTTGGACTTCTAAACAGTTTTGAGTGAGACTGTGATAGACTATGGGGACTTTGAAGTTGGATTAAATGCATTTTTTGCATTATTATGTGGCTACAAGCCTATATGGGCCAAGGAATGTAATGGGGTGGTTTGAATAAGAATGGCCCCATAGGCTCATATGTTTGAAAGCTTAGTCATCAGGGAGTGGCACTACTTTGGAGAGATTAGGGGGTGTTTCCAGTTCCACCTAGGGTATGATTGCCAAGTTACAGGGTATGTATATGTTCTTGTAATGAATAAATACCCTAAACCTATTAATCCTGAGTAATCAAAAACTCTTCAGTGATGGATTGAGATGCTCAGTCAGGAAATGCTGCCCAGGTTGATGGGGAAAGACCAGGAAGGTGGAGCCCATGCCATTCCCAGCATAGCACGTCTTTGCAAGGATTCTCCTGAAGTGGATGTGTGAGTTTTTACAAGACACAGGCATTTCCCATCTATGCTGTAAGCTTTGCTACCAGGGAAGAGCTTGAGAAAAGGGAACCGTCTCTGTCGCAACCCCAACAAGGTGGCCTCACCAGATGGCCAAAACCTACTCTGGGAAAGAAGAGCACATATTACAGAGTTTGTCCTTATTCCAGCAGTCATCCAGAATAAGCACGTGCCTGTCAATACAGCACCTAAAGCTAGCCAGCTCCTGGGCCAGGTCCTCTTCTGGCTGGGTACCTCTGTTTCAGAGGAAGCATTAGGTTGAGGAGAGTGAGTACCTTCTGAGTCCACATGTTTTCTGTATGTTTTTGTGTGTGCGTGCATGCTCACATGTATGTAGGCACACGTGGGCATGTGTAGAAGCCCACGGTTGATGTCGGGTGTCTTCCTCAAAACCTTTCCACCTCATTTATTGAGGAAGAGTCTCTCATTGAACTTGGAGCTTGCTGTTTTGGCTAGTCTGTCTAGCCAGCTTGATCTTAGGGCTCCCTGTCTCAGGCACCCCTTGCCAAGATTAAAGGCAGGCTGCCACACCCACCACGTTTGTGGGTTTTGGAGATCCTGACTCTGCTGCTCATGCTACACACACGGGGTCATGTCCTCAGTCAACTTTTTAATTTCATTCGTTTATTTGGTGCTCCAGACTGAAGGCAGCCCTTGTATAGGCTAAGAAAATGTTATGCCTTTGGGCTATATCCTCTGCCTGCTTTTCTGAGACAGGGCTGCAGCCTTGAGCTTTTGATTTTCCTACCTCAGTCTCCTAGAAGCTGGATGACGGGCCTGAGGCATCAAGTCTAGTTCGACCCTGACGTGGTCTCTCTCTCCATCCTCTTCTGTTTTCAGAGTCACCCTCTGTGCCTTCTGCTCCCAGGTTCTTGAAAGGATGAATGGCACTGGCTGGTTGTCGGAAGAGTCACAGCAGAACCCAGTATTAGTTTTTAGAGCTTTAATGGAGGGAAAGGGGGCAGGAGGAGCAGGCCTGGTGGGGGAGGGAAGCAGAGAGGAAACAGAAAAGGGAGGGTGGGGGTCCGTGTCCAGCTTTTTAAGGCTGGTTATGTAGTTGCCCGCTGATGAAGTAAGACATTAAACCCAGAAGAGTGAGAACAGGATCCTAACAGTTCTCCCAGCTGCTTCTCTCACCATCTATTGCCACACCTTCCTCCCAACTGCAAGGATAATTTTCCACCTCCATACATGGTGGTAAATCCCTCTAACCCTAGTACTGGTGGGGGGAGGGCTGAGGCCAGAGGATTACAAGTTTGAGTCCAGCCTGAGCCACACAGTGAGCTGCATAGCCTCTAAAAGTCAAAGCTTCTTCTAGGTTGAGTTTTTCCAGAGTCCAGATGGAGTTAGAGCAGGATTGGAAAAACCGAAGAGGTTCCTGGTGAACCTGGGCGGCGGCGGCGGGTGTCCTTGAACAAAACACAATATACGCATTCTCCCAAGACGGGCAGCAAAAGGAAGTTGATGTCAAAAGCAGCAGCAGCTCTGCAAAGGTTCGTCCAGCCTCTGAGGTCATGCCTCTCTGCAGCTTCCTACTTCTGCACAGGCTGTAGACCCACCCCACAGAACTGAGCCCATTTGGAGTCTTTCCAGCAGGATGCATCCCTTGGCAGGCCTCCTCAAATAGAGGAAGCAGCTCACTTTAAAATCAGCCTTCCTTTTCTCCCGTTCTGCGACACCGAGGGTGCACTGTGCTAAGGGAAAACAGTCCTCGGAGTCACTCCCCATTTCCCCTCTTCTCTTTTTATTGTCTTTTCCTGCTCACTTATAAGATCCCTCCCTATTCGCTCAGAATGGGGCTGATCCTGTCCTGGACTTGATATTGGTCGAAAATAAGAAAAATCTGGGGTGGGGCAGAGTAATTTCTAGGGTGTGGAGTTAGTTTCGGTTTTGAACTCTATGTTTGGCTGCAAAGCAAGAAAGGAGGTCCCCACGGGGCATGGAAGAGATGAAGGGCAAAGTTGACTGTAGAGAAGGCTTACAGACATTCACCGTGCTAATTAGGTCTCTTACTGTGTTGTTTTCATTTTTCCGATGAGAGAGTCTCATTGTGCACCTGGCTTGGCCTCCTGTCTCAGCCTCCCCAGCAATGGGATCATGGGAGCATGCTTAAGAAAGAACAGATTCTCTCCCAGAGCCGCCCCTATGCAGAAGTGGCTAGACTCAGCTTTTCTCAGACTCAGAGCAAAAACACACTCTGCGTGAGCCAGACCTCCCTCCCTGCCTTCTCTGGGGAGAGTCTCACCTTTGGGTCTCTGGCTATAGCCAGTGCCCACTGTTTTATTATTTGTTGCAAGGTGCCTGTCTAAGCTTGGTTCCACATATGCTTTGCTCTGTATGTTATTTCCTGAGTCATGAAGGGAAGAGGTGTTCCTGTGTTCAGAAAGCCCAAGACTGCATGAGACTGGCTTAACTGTCTAGCAACCTCCAGTTTAAAAATTAATCCCAAACTGGGTATGCTGGAGCATGTCTGTAATCCCGGCACTTGGCAGGTTGAGGCAGAAGGATGCAAAGTTCAAGAGTAGCTGGGTCTACCCAGTGAGATTCTTTTTCAACAATTAATCTTCCCGAGTTCGGTCCAAGGACTAAACACAGGGTGAGAGCTTGCTCAGAAGCTGTGGATATCCAGCTTAGCTCAGTTAGACTAGAAAGAATATTTCTTGATGCAGGAAATATTTAGTTTTTAATCACAGTTTATTTTGTGTAGGCAGTTACCATCTTTTTTAAAAGGGTCAGCTTTGCAATTGAAAAAAAATCAAAATTGCCATTCAACTTCTTGATTTCCTCAATTAGTTTGGGAGCTTGAGTGTTGTTTGTGAGTTGTTTGGAAAATGGAATTGATGTTATTCCCTCGCAATTCAGACAGTAATGCTGTGACTCGGCCCCCCTCCTTCTTTACAGAATTCATGGCTCTGCTCACTGGGTTAATCATCTCAAACAAAGGGCCCAGGTATGATGATGCCTATCTGTAATCACCGCACTACAGAGGTGGAAGCAGGAGGAGATGGGGAGGCAGTGGAGTGCACATAGATCGGTGATAAACTATGTGTCTGTATGGACAGTACTAAACATTACTAAAACCAAAACCAGGGAGAGAGAGAGAGAGAGAGAGAGAGAGAGAGAGAGAGAGAGAGAGAGAGAGGTTGCGTGGTCTACACAGCTGGTTCCAGAATGGCCAGGGCCACACAGAGAAATCCTGTCTCAAAAAAAGCAAGAGAGAGAGACAGAGAAAGAGGTAAGTTGGTAAATTGGTGGCCATGCAACCATAAGGACCTGGGTTCAATCCCCAGAACCATATAAAAATATGCCTTTAATCCCAGGGCTGGGGAAGTGGGAGATGGAGACAGGCAGATCTCTGGGGATCACTGGCTAGCCAGTCTAGACAAATCGGTTAGTACTAGGCCAAGTGAGAGACCTTGTCTCAAAAGTAGGTGAACAGTGCACACATACAGCATATACTCTAAACTAAACATACACACTAAGCACCAGCTGTTTAAGGCAGTCTGTGTTACATAGTATATTCTAGGCTAACCTAGGCTACAGTATGAGACTCATTTGTTTATTTTACTTTTTTTGATTGTTTGTGGATTTTACATCAGGCCTTCTGATCCCACTCATCTCCCTGTCTCCTCCTGTCCTGCCTCTGCCCTTGCAACCCCCACCTAAACAAAACCAAATTCAAAAGAAAAACCAAACCAGGCGGTGGTGGCTCACGCCTTTATTTAATCCCAGCACTTGGGAGGCATAGGCAGGTGGATCTCTGTGAGTTCGAGGCAAGCCTGGTCTACAGAGCGAGATCCAGGAAAGGTGCAAAGCTACACAGAGAAACCCTGTCTTGGAAAAAAAAAAAAAAAAGAAAGATAGAAACAAACAAATAAACAAAACAAAAATAAAAAATAAAAAGAAGATGAAAAAGAAGAATCTTGTCATGGAGGCTGGAGTGTGTGTAAGGATCATGTCATGACGTCACCAGCCTGCGACTACGGAGTCCCAGCCTAAAAAGCGGGCGTGCCCTCTCTATGCTCCCTCTTTTTCCATATTCCCCATCCGTGCGGTCTCCCTGACTTTCTCTCTCTCTCTCTCTCTCTCTCTCTCTCTCTCTCTCTCTCTCTCTCTCTCTCTCTCTGTCCCTCTCCCTCTCAATAAAGCCCTAGAAAGGTAACCATGGCTCGTGATTCTTCCACCACCGCAGCATCCAGCGCTCCCTTCCTTTGGCATGTGAGTGTTCATTGCCTCGAGTCATTGGTCTGGCTCAGGCCACTGGTTCCTCCTACACCACAGATATGAATGGGCTCTCACCCGGGCTCCTCTTGGATGTCCTGTTGTCCTGTGTCGTGGAGATCCTGCAGTTTTGGGTCTGTAGGTTCGTCCCCTTCACCTGCTCCAACAGATCACAGATGAGGTGGATGTTGGGGTGGCCAACTCATGGTCCTGGTTCTGGGCCTGAGTGGTAGCTGGGTTGGTCAGCCCACCAGCTTTCCCTCATTGTGACTGTCTCAGCTAGCTCACCCAGGGGTGGAGTGGGGGTGTGGGGGGTTTTGTGCCAGTGCTCCTGCTCTCAGGCCCTCAGATCCAGGTTCCCCTCACTCATATCGTCAAGGCCAGCTCTCCTGTCTTGCCCAGGTAAGGTGCAGGGCCCTCTCTCCCAGTTGCTGTAGGGAGCCTATGAGTTGGGGGTTGGAGTTCAGCTCTCCTGCTCTCATGCCCTCAGGGCTGGCTCACCTAGGACCCTGACAATAGGGTCTGGCATGCTGCCCAGGAGGAGTGCAGAGCCCAGTCTCCAGCATGCTATAGCTAGTGTAGAGCAGGGCTGCCTCTCTCAGTGTCATGACCCCGGGGCCAGCTCTCTCACCAGCCACAGGTAGCCAGGGGTGGAGAGAGGAAGGTGTCTCTCCCTCACCCATGACTGATGGATGAAGAGGGGTGGGAGACCCTGTTTTAAAAAACAAAGCAACAAGCCAAGTGTGGTGGCACATGCCTTTAATTCCAGTACTTGGGAGGCAGAAACAGGAGGATCTCTGTGAGTTCAGGGCCAACCTCGGTCAACACAGAGAGTTCTGGACCAGTCAAGGCTTCATAGTGAGGTCCTGCCTCAGAAACAAACAAAAACTAACAAAGACAAAACAATCAAAGGAGGAAGTCTTCATTTATAAAATTACCTATGTTTTCTCTTTTCTATCTCTTTTCTATTTAAACCCAGGGCCTTGAACACTTAGGCAAGCACTATATGCCAAGCTACTGTCCCAATTCTTGTGTCCTAGCCTCAAGAACAAAGAAAAAGCTGAATAATCTGTTCTGTAAGTGTGAAGGAGAAACTTTGAAGTCGGAAGGACAATTTGCATAACTACCTTGTATCTGTCTCTTTATATTTTGATCAAGTTAAGCAATCAACACTATCAGGTTGGTGTTACTAAATCTGCCCTCTTGGTCCCCCACCCCACTAATGCTTGCTCCTCTTGTGACTTTAGATTCCATTCAGGAATTTTGGAGTAGTCAAGAATGACTAACAAGGCCCATTGAGATGCTTCAGTGGGTAAAATGCTTGCCATCCACCCTGATGGCCTGAGTTTGATCCTCCAAACTCAAGGTGTAAAGAGAGAATTGACTCCTGAAAGCTGTTCCCTGCCCTCTGTGATATTCACACACCCATACTCCCATACACATCACACATACCCCTACAAAAATAATAGACAAAATAAGAGCAAAAGAAGGGCGTTCAAGGTGGCTCAGAGGCTAATGTGATAACTGAAGAAATGTCATTTTGTGGTAGACAAACATCTCAGTACCTAATAGTCATTTGTCTCTGACTTCAAGTTCCTGGAAGATAAATTCCCAGAAACCCTGATTCTTTGACTCATGCCCAGAAATGTGACCATAGCTTGGTATGCTATGACTAACTGCTGATTTCAGTTTCTGTAACTTGCTTATGCAGACATTCAAGGACTATGTTGAGGTCACCTTATCCACCTAATCTTGGCAGAGCAGATTGTGGATTCTGCCTTAAAAGCCTTTTCTTCACCTGCCTCTGGATGACAGGTCTCTCATTCAGGTTAGAGAGTGTGACCCTGCTAGCAGCTTTAATAAATATGGCTAATTTTAATCTGAATTGAGTCTGAGGATCTTTTCCTAGTGGTCTTGAACTCCATAACAATTAAGAGTGCTTGCTGCTCTTACAGAGGATATAGATTTGGTTTCCAGCATGTCCATGGTGTCTCAACAACCACCTGTACCTCTAGTTCCATGGGATCTTCTGGCCTTAGTAGGTGCTAACCATATACATGGCAAATGTACATACATGCAGGCAAAATACTCATGTTAGGGTTTGGAGGCAGAAGGAAGAGTACCTTGGCAGATTGGTCCGTCAGGGGACAGGGGATGCTGCAAAGACCACCCCACCCAACAGATCTCTTGCAAGATATTTATGGGGTGGGGGCAGGCCTGTCCTGGAACCAGGACAAGAGCGACAGAGACAGACAGAGAAAGAGAGGGAGACAGAATGTCAAAGAGGGGACGGCGGGGACCTTTAAAGGGGTATAGCAAATGTGCATAGGCAGAATGAGTGTAGATGAACAGTCTTATTAAATAAGAAACACGGAGCCAATTGCAAAGTTAAAAGCCCAAGAGGTCAGAGCAATAGCTAAGAACTGAAATTTAAAACCACCTTTCTTATCCTTCGCTGCCACTGCTGTCCTTCCCCTCAGCAAGAGGCCTACTTCCTGTGTGTCTGTCCTTTTATTGACTTTCTGTTCTGCCTTCTCATTGGTTGTAAACCCAACCACATGACCTCCTCGTCACTGCCTGTCTGTACAGACCTCCAGGTCTTCTATGGTTGGTATTGAGATTAAAGGCGTGTGTCTCCATGCTGGCTGTATCCTTGAACACATAGAGATCTGCATAGCTCGGCCTACCAAGTGCTGGGATTAAAGACATGTGCCACCACCACCTGGCTTCTGCTTTGGCTTGCTATTAGCTCTGACCCCTGGGCAACTTTATTTATTAACATACAAATAAAATCACTTTTCAGTACAAATAAAATATCACCATATATGAGATTCCTGGTGACAGTGGAAATGTGTCCCATTTGGCAGTGGTGATAATGTATCTATTGGTGCTGTGTCTCTGAAGGCTGCTGGGGGGAGCACCTAGTCTCTAACAACTCCTATGCATAAAATAAAAATATATGAAAAATAATAAATGAATAAATAAATAAAAGAAGACAAGTTAGGAGACACGGTTTGAGAGTTTTGAGTATATGGATAATATTCATTTACTTTAATTAATTTTTTTAAAAAGTCATTGCTCTACATGGAGCTACACGGTCTTACTAAGTTACCTAGGCTGCTGTTGAAGCTCAGACAAACTTTGAATTTACAATCTTCCTGCCTCAGCTTCCTGAGCAGTTATAATTACAGGCTGTGTCAACAGACCTGGCTCCTGTTTCTATTCTTAATGTCCGATCCCAAAGAAACCCAGGGATGATAGCTAACTGTGATGCTTATTAGCTCCTCCCAGCTCTTCTCAGAAGGGCTTTGATTCCCTTCCCCCAGCTTTTGATTGCTCTGTACACGCGCCGTTTGGGGGCTACCATTCTCTCGGCTCCTCTCCTGGAGTGTGGCAGGGATCTCTCCCCACTGGTCTTCCTGTGTCTCATTTCTGTATTGTCTCCTGTTTATCCTCAGTAAAGAAGCAAGGGAGACTCTTAATGTGTCAAATGAAATGGGGTGCCAGCTCTCGGGAGGCAGAGGCAGGTGAATCTCTGTGAGTCGAGGCCAGCCTGGTCTGCAGAGCGAGTTCCTGCAGCTAGGACTACAGAGAAACCCTGTCTCAAAAAACCAAAAAATTAAAAATTAAAACAAACAAACAAAAAAGGTAAAATGAATTCCTTCTCTGTCCCAAAACAAGGCTCTCAAGTCAGAGGGAAAAGAAGAAGAAACCCTTCTACAGCCGCGCCCCCCACGCCCCGCTCCTTTCCCCCTCCTACCCGCCCCCCTCCGCACTCCGTCCCAATCCCTCTTCCTTTCCGGTCTGGCTCTCTGCACCATTCACTCTGGCCCCTCTGTATTTCTGGAATCAGCTGAGCTGTTCCTGCTGTTTTCTTGGGACTCGGTACCAGTTGCTACCCCTTCCTGGAATGCTCTTCTCACAAACATTTGTTTTTTTGTTTTTTTTAAAGATACTGTTCAACTTGGTATGTAGCCAGAGAAGACCGTGAATTCCTCATCCTCCTGCACCACCTCGGGGGTGCTGGTATGACAGCCGTGCATCTTTATGTATACCTAAATATTTGCATATTTCTTCAAATTTCCCCTCAGTCTCTTTCTCTCCAGAACTTTAAAAAATTAATTAACTTATTTTAAACTTTTTTAGGCTTATTTTTTTCCTATTATGTGCATGAGTGTTCTGCCTGCACGTACATACGGGCACCTCATGGGTGCCCAGTGCTCATGGCAGTTGGAAGAGGGGGCCGGATCACTGGGAACTGGAGTCACAGATGGCTGTGAGCCACCATGGTGGTGTTTGGAATTGAACCTGGGTCCTCTGCGAGAGTCAACAGGTTCTCTAACCTTCAGAGCCACCTCTCCAGCTCCTAATTATTTATTTTTGAGATGGGGTCTTGCTGTGTTGCTTCAGCTGGTCTCAAATGACTTATGCTCAAGCGATCTTCCTGCCTTCAGCCGAGGCATCAGAACGTGTCGGAGTGCCTGGCTTCCTTCTCAATAAAGCCTGCCCCAGAGACTGCAGCCTTCCTCACGTGTCTCCCCCCTAACCTCCCCTTTCTTCCCACTGTTCCTGCCACCTTCTGACACAGGACCTAATTTCCTTCACATGAGTTTATCGTCTGTCTTCCTTCCTTGAACATCAGCAAAGACGAGGGGATGCTCTACTTCCTGTCATGTGCTCTGTGCTTGCCTGTGTGCCTCGCTGGGGCAATAAATATTTGTGGAATGAGCTGAATGCTGACACCAGTTCCACACCCTCCCCCATCTTTTGTTGCAGTGCTGAGGATTGAATGTACAACCTCACACACCAGGCAAGTGATCTAGCCCTGAACTATGCCCTCAGCATAGTTATGTTTTTTAATTACTGACTTATTTAGTACATGCCAGTGAGCATGTGGGATGTTAGCAACAGAACTAACTGCTTCCTTATTTTGAGACAAGATTTTATAAAGTTGCCCAGGCTGGCTTTGAACTTACTTGGTAGCCAAGATGAAAAGA